ATCATTAATAAGTTTTTCTGCGACTATTAATTGTTTCGCATCTAAAGCTTTCAATTTCATCGCCACGTTTTTTCCAATAATATCGCACCTATCTTCTGTTACAATTGGGCGAGGGCGCTTAAAGTGATCTCGTACCGATTCCAACACTTCATTTGCTAAGCTTTCATCTTTTCTTTTTGTTTTCCAAGGTTTTGGTGGGCGAGATGAATTATTATTTGACGATGTTGATCGAACCTCGTTGTCGGTAGATGCGCTGTTGGATGAATATTCTTCAGCGGCATTTAAAGAGTCTTCAGTGTTGTCTTTCTAAAAACAAAAAAAATTGATACATTTTTGTGTGCATACGCTATAGATATTTCACATCAATAATAACTACTTTTGCAAGTATTTATGATAAAAACCTATTATTTTTATATTACAGTTTCCTAAATCTGAAGAAGAGTGGAAAGAAATAGCAAAGATGTATGAAGAACGATGGAACTTTCCTCATTGTCTTGGTGCAATAGATGGAAAGCACATATCGATTGTTCCACCGGCTAATAGTGGATCGTATTTTTATAATTATAAAGGGCAACATAGTGTGGTTCTTATGGCAATTGTTAATGCAAAATACCAATTTATTTATATAGACGTTGGCATGAATGGCAGAATATCCGATGGAGGGGTTCTACAAAACACTAAATTTTTTGAAAAATTAGAAAATAGTGATTTACATATTCCAAGCAGTGAATTGTTAACAGGAAGTAACCGAAATTTACCATATGTATTTGTGGCAGATGACGCGTTCCCATTACGCCCCGATATGATAAAACCGTTTCGACAGGCAGATTTAACATCGCAAGAAAGAAGAATCCTGAATTACAGATTATCTCGCGCGAGACGGACTGTTGAAAACGCTTTCGGGATAATGGCATCACGATTTCGGATATTTTATACTCATATAAATTTAGAACCCGAAAATATCGATAAAGTAGTGAAAGCATCTTGTGTATTACATAACTTTTTAATTGAACACTCAAAAAAGTCTTATGCACCTCAAAAATGTTTTTATCGAGAAAACTCTGAAAACGGGACTATAATATCTGAAGGATACAATACACAAAATAGCACCATGGTAAACTTGGAAAGAAGAAACCCAGGAAATACTTTGAACAACGCGAAGATAGTCCGAAACAATTTTATGAATTATTTCAATCAGGAGGGAAGGGTACCATGGCAAAATGATCATGTAAATTAAATAATACCTAAGGCTGAACGGGCAGAGTAGGTACATAGTTCTAAATAGTTATAGTTGTAAATAATTATGTTATTATTATATTACTTAATAAAAAAAAATACTACAAACTATGAAATATTTTACTTACCTCACAACTATTTTCGTCATCACTATCTAAGTTGGATGAAGATTCCCTTGGAGTGCATTGATCATGAATGAAATTGAACAAATCGTAGTACCACAGTTTAATACGATACACATCATCAGCAGATGCCCCAGACTTTAAAGATTGCTCATATTTCTTCGTTTCCTTTCTAACATTGCTTCTTAGGTTATTGATCTTTTTCACAACTACATCTTTGTTCGCATCTGGCTCAATTATTCTCAATTTTTCTATGAGTAATTTATAAGCAGCTTCTTTTTTGTCTCGATTATGGTAATCTTTGTTTTTAATTTGCCATAGACATGGATTACTTCTATAAATTTCAATAAAATCTTCAAGGATTTTTTTAGTTGAATCTGGTGGCGCCATTTTCTGGCAATACGATGCGAGCGATGAGACGCCCGTTTGAAAGAAACACTAAAAAACAACTGACGCGACCTGCGCAGGCGACCGGAGTACACGCACACACGCACAGGTACACCGTACGGTGTCACTCGAAAGAATCGATTTTCGATCTTGCGCCGGTTGCCTGCGCAGGTTCAAAAAACTGCACAGGTCTATTCCCACACACATTCCGGTCTACCTGCGCAGGCATACCTGCACAGGTGGACCTTTCCGGTAGACCGTAGCGTGTATGGCCGGCAT